GCCCTCCGTGCCCTGACACAAACAACAAACAGCTGATTAGTATTTGTCAACAAACTCATGTATGGACAAAAAAAAAGAGAGTCATTTGGGGGGGCTCTTGGGAAAAAAGGTTGGGAACAACTGTTGTAGACGGTTTCAGCGGGTATTCCCTGCTATTTATTGCGCTATATAGTATTATTATTTTCAAGGACATTTTGATTCATTCATTTTTCTCATGTCTATTCTTTGTGTTTTGCACAGTTGCATATAAAGATGATCGGTTAAGTGTTAAGGTTTTGATAAATATGACAAAGCATTCAAAGCTTAATGAAAATACTATAAAAGCTTAACATGTAAAAAAGACATTTGGTACAACTCTATTTTTTTACTCACAAAAGGCATCAAATTGCAGGCACGCTTATGTAACGATATTCAAGAACGGCCTTTCCCTCATGACTCATGGCTAGTTTTGTGGGGGGTCGTGACTCACAAGCAAATCATCACATGCTGACTGAGACTTAGAAACATCATTTGACGGAAAGCATGAGCATAGTAAGGAAAGAATTTCATATTGTCTTGTCATTGTTTTAATACACGTGACCTTTTAGCTTGTAAACTCCAGACCGGTGCAGAGACGAGGCCTCAGCTGACAGCATGTGGCAGACGTCTCATATGAATGATATCAGTGTCACATGTTCTCACCTGTCTCTGCAGCCTGCATGGAGACACGCTCAGAGAAAATGTCGGCTGCTTGGAAAGAGTCCAAGACATCAGCAGACCTTCGTCCTCCACCTCCTCCAGACACACCACCACCTGAGGGAGAGAGACAGGGGGGGGGGCGAGGTTGAAAAACACATCACACCTAGTTGCAGACTGCACACCAACCAACATGCAGACAGATTACACAAAGGAATATTATAAGGATTCTACACGTTTCATTCTCTAACAATAAATCATCACCAGTACTTCATTTTGATAATTTAGTACAAACAATGGAGATTAGGCTTCCATGAACATGATGGTATTGATGAAGAACTCTATTGGTATGGGCTTAAATTAAAGGTATTAGAATAGTAGAAGTATTAGTATTTGGTAGTCTTAGCAGTTCCAGAGGATACGCAGTCTCTGCTAGCTTCTGAAATACATTTAACACGACAACACAAGCTAACATTTGGAGCTAGATAACATGAAGAAACACTTTATTTTCTGGTACGATAACACATTTCTCTTTATGCTAGATGGTGAAAGGAGTTACAGGTAGCTGGAAAATCAATTCCAACATGATTATCCTATTTAAAAAAAGACAATGTCACTGGCGCAGAAAGCAGCAGGATGTGAAATGGGTTCTTACCGTGGGTTTTATAAATACTTGTATTGCAGAGATAAGAAAGCATTGTGTTATTGTGTCCAAAACATCTGCAATCTTTGCAAAGAGATGTAATACAATGTGGTACATCTTGGGAAATGTGGTTTATCTTGACCATTGCAAGAAATGTCTGTATCACTTTGATTTCTTCTTCTTTTAATTTCCGTTACACAAGGCAGGGCAGTTTGATGGTGCCTCTGGCGTGTTAAAAACAACAATGCTTTTGCAAATGACGTGTGTGTCTATTTGCATGAAGAGTGGGGAGTAAGACCTGATTTAAAGTGGTCCCTTTGAAAAGCATGTTGAGACACATTCTAGTGTGTGTGTGTGAACTGACCTACTTATAGCTGTCCCATTGTGATTGGGTCGATGTTAAAGCCAGGTGTGAACAGGGCCCATTAATTGTCATCTCATCACAATGAGGGGCGATCGCCAAATGCAATTTTAAAAATTTGAATGAGAATGCAAATGTTGCTCTGAGATTTGTTTTATAGTCCTGCCCTCAAACGTGCAAATTGCAAACAAATCCAGGTGGTGTGCTTTTGTACCTGTGCCACCATAGGTGCTATAGTGATCTGGTAGGTGTCCATGGAAACGGCAGCATGTGACTGCAGGGTGACGGTCACAGGGAGCGTCACTGTGTCCACCCAACATTTACAGTTTAAAACCTGGAAAAACAAGAGGAAGTTGGCTAAAAAATGACAAACCTTGATTTTTTTTATGGTGCAGAAATATGGCCCAGGAGGTTTATCATGTATCGCCCACACTTAAATAATAAAGATGACTTACCATGCGGTTTGCCGATTGGTCAGTGCAGGTCACACTCTCTATTGCAGAGTTAGCCGATAACTGGAGGCTGCTGTCAAAAGTGATCTGGATGGAGCTCTGGGAGAAACAGAGGAAGAGAAGAACATGTCCTAAATATTACATAAGAGAAAAAGAACACGCACTTGGGGACGACTTAAAAAGACGTTGTACTGCGGGGATACAGTCTTTAATAAATCTAGGTCGCAGTCTAAACAACCAATCACATGAATCTCCTTCCCCGGACACACAAGCACACGGTTTGATTGGCTAGCGCTTGTACTGGCATATGATTTGATTGGCTGGCACTTCCGTTAACTTTCGAAGCGAGCAACGGAGGCAAAGCGACCGCAATGCAATGCGTGACGTCACCCCAAAGTGAATAGGAAGCGTCTCCGTTGAAGCATGCGACGCTGCCGTGTGGACGGCAAATCATATGCCAGTACAAGCTCTAGCCAATCAAACCGCATGCTTGTGTGTCCGGAACGGGAGATTCATGTGATTGGTTGTTTAGACTGCGACCTAGATTTATTAAAGACTGTATCCCCGCAGGTTGTTGCTCGCACGCCAGACACGCCCACCGGCAAGCTTCAACGCGACGCTGCCGTGTGGACGTACCGTATCGCCTATTGGTATTTGTGCAGAGTGATTCAACTCATTAACAGGCTAATCACATCCTTACAAAAATAACATTGCTTTGAACACTTCAGAGTACAGAAAGCTCACAATCTCCCTGTTCCTTTTGGCACATTTTGTAACTGAGTCGAGATTATTAATGCATGACTACCTTCCTCCTGCCAAAGGCTAACCATTTCAAGGTCGCACTGTTAAGTTTAATGAATCAATAAACCTGTAAGGTGCCATAATGTGTACGCCAACGATCATGAGGCGGTTGTAATTATCTTGCGTGGCAAAGCACTTCTGTGGTTAAAGTCCATGCGGCTCCTTGGCTTTATGATGAACAGTGCTTCAAGATACTGGCATACACACCACAACATATGTTTGCTTGGTGGCAATGAGTACAAGTTAATATGAATTTCTGTAATAAGACGTTTTCGGTTTCCCCTCTCAAACAGCCTCGTCCGTTATCAAGACTGCATCCGTTAATTCTTAGTCATGCCTACATAAATACAGGAGACACCTCCAACAAAAGGAGTTTCCAGTGTGAGAGAAGATTCACCAGAAGCATCGTGTGTGTGTGTGTGTGTGTGTGTGTGTGTGTGTGTGTGTGTGTGTGTGTGTGTGTGTGTGTGTGTGTGTGTGTGTGTGTGTGTGTGTGTGTGTGTGTGTGTGTGTCGTAGCCAGTAGGGAAGGAAGCCAAGTACGATGCTGTAAGCTTACGTAGGTTCATGGACCAACACGAGAGCGTACAACCGGCTGTGTTTACTCCGGTTGGCTGGAGCCTTTAAAACTGTTCAGCCACCCAACCGTTCATTACATCCAAAGTGCAGAACGAATATGATGGGATGCATTTCGTATTGAGTGGGGTTAGATAAAGCCATCATCACAAGGTTATGAATGTGTGAGGCCCAGAGACGTGCATTACCAAAGGTCCGCGTCAATACACTCGAAACCCCTCTAGGATATTTGCAACGAGGGAAATTCTAATCGGTACAATGTTGTGAGTAAATACTTCTAAGTGACAGTTTTTTTGGGACACCCACATTCTGCAATAATTCAATTATAGTGTCACTTTTTTTGTTACACTATGCATTTCGCGTTTACTAGAAATCTCATAGTGTAGATAAAGACAAGAAGCCTGGGAATGGGGGATGTTGATCATATTCAGGCTATGGGTATGACGTTCACAAATGTGTGTTGTGCACATAACAACTAGGCCACCAGACCTCCCATTATGACGAGTCTAAAAACACTCCAGATCTAAATGTATGACAAAAAACACAGCAATTGCTGCAAAGATTTTTTGACAAACTGACAACTTTATATATTTCCCAATTGCTTGAGGACACAAAGCGGCACAGGCTTGCCAAAATGTGTCAGTCAAAATCTTGCATGCCTTAAAGAATGTTGGCTCAGATGATGTTTCTGCTGATATAACGTCCTGTTTAAATCAATTTCTGGGCTGAAATATAATCCCATCTTTATATATTATAGATATATTGGGGTTTACCACAGTGTTAGTTCAACATTTGTATGTGTAAATGCGTGGAAGCTGAAATGAAACCGCTATCATCCAGTTTATAGGTCTAGCATGTGCCTAAAATTGACTGGTTCATGGGTTTTTTATCATCTAAAGGGGAGTTTACTCAGATATTTTTGCATTCATTGGCTTCTTCAGCAGCCATCTGGTGCTCCGTGGTGTTCTACATCCTCCTAGCGGAAGCTACAGAACGCATTTTGTCATGAGAGTGCAGTGCTGGCCTCATAACCTCTGATGTGTCCTTGTGAACCACCACTGTTCACATGAGTGTGAGTGTGTGGAACGTGTTTCTGGAACGAGACAGTTCCTGAGGACATCCATGGTGTCACTTCAGTTTTATCAGAGACCCCACCCTATCCCCCCTGACTGGCTGAACGCCTGTGTAAAGCATGTGGGTCAACCAGAATAACACTCCCCCCGTGGCATTTGTTGACCCTCGTCTTACTCACTGCCCTTTCTTTCAGTACCATGTATCTTCAGTTTAGGCTATGTAGTTTGGGGTTAGAAAAAATAATAAAACATCAACGGACATTTCTTACATGTATTCTACGTATAAACATTTTTTTTTTACCCACACTATCAGTCCAACTGCAGCGTTAGCATGCTAATACAGCTAAAAGAGGCTAAAATACCATCAAACAATTATTTTCGCTAGTGGCAACATTTAAAACAACCACCAGTTAGCCGTCAATTCTCAGTTTAATTACTCAGTACAATTGACACAAGAAAACATCCGTCATACTACTTTTGTTTTTGTGTTATAAAAAAAGGACTGTTCAAATAAATAAATCATCAGCCGTTGAAGCCTTTAGTGCTGAGAGTTGTTGCCTTTTCACAAGTCTTTATACATTCTCATTCACATACTTGTTCAGTATTTAGCATAAAACTACTAAAGGTGATCTGTCAAATACCAAAGATTATTTAACATTCACTAATGGCACGTTACATTTATGATGGGACTGAATACAACTACAAGGACAAGCATTTAAGATCTAGCCTGACTTAAAAGTTTGTTCAAATTCAATATCATAACAGAATAATGCATTTTATCCCTGACCTAGAAATATTGTCAGCTGATTTTGAATTTCATCTGTTACGAGAGTTTCCTGCGCTGTCATTGTACATGAATGCTGAGTGCTTAACGTTCCCTGTCCTTAAGGAGAATTTACTTCGTATAATCACACGGCATTAATCATCTACCAGCAGCTCAAACAGTCAGAGAGGGAAGATGTGAACTATGGCCTCGAGCTAATCACCAGGCTCTTTATAATTGCATATCTGGACGAGGAGCTTGTGTCCCAGCAGATGCACTCGTATGCTCCGTTAGTCCTCCTCCACCACCCACTGCTCCCCGTGACAATGGCTTCTCATCACGTGCATGACAGAGCTGCTATGATCTGCAGGTCTGAAGAGGCCAGCCTGTTCAGTCATTCAAGCCTCCTCCGCAAAATAATCCAGCAGGAGAGATTCGAAAAGCTCCATATCAAGCCGGCCGGCCAAAGGCAAGATTATATCCTGAGGCTCCTGCAGTAATACTGACATTTCCTCTGGATAAACAACTGAGTGATGAAACAAGATACATCCTAGGATTACTTTGGGAAAGGGCAGCAGGTTATATTTCTGCACAGTGTGCAAGTGGCGCTTCTGGCTTGTGTGGAATGCTCTTAAAGCTTTAGAGGCATTCGGCTGAATCCGCTTTATTTTATTGACTGTTTATGGGTATACGTAAAAGTATACGTATAAGTAAATCTGGTTAACTGTTGACTAACCGGAGGACGTCCTATTTACATTGTCGGATATAACCAGCTGCGATGAAGCCTCGGGTTAAATCCCTGGATTATATGGATACAGAAGAGTGAGGAGGGGCTGGTGGGGTCTCGTTAGAGCAGAGGTAGATTGGACATATCCTTAGATTTGTGAAAAACACAGCTGCAACACAAGTGCTCAACATCTCTGCCTATCACCCTGAGGTTGCAATTGTCTCCTCTTATCTACATCTCACAAATCATAACATTATAAATGTTTCTTCTTGGAATTAAAGTGGCGGAAATAAAAATACAAATCGTTGAATGGAAGGAGCTGAATGCGTCACAAACACTTTGTCTCTAGAAACCCCAAAATGACGTTTTACCTTTTACTATGTTCTGCTGTTTTTGTGTAATAACCTGTCAAGATTCAGCTGGTAGCAGATGGTAGCCTCAGGACTTCATGTCATACTCGCTTTCGTTTCTACACTGTCATCTGCCAAAAAAATGCCCCAAGAAAAGATCTTATAGGGGGGGAAAAAGGATTTAGCCCCCTATAGATTTTTTGTTGTTTTGAATACTAGACTTCAGGGGTCAGGGTCAGGTCTCCTCTGAGGTCAAGGTATGAGCTGTTCTGTTAAATGTGCAGCGTTAAAATATTATTATGAGTATTGGACGGTTCTGGCTTACTTCACTATGTGCTGCAGTGAGTGGAATATCAACAAGGTAAAGTGATCCACATATTAAAAATGGCTATTTGAAATGACAGAAAGTGATACTTGTGAAATCTTCATAATGAAACCCACAGAAGATTACACCGTGGTGTTACGCCCCTTTTAGAAGTGGAGAAATAATCACAAGGAGTAAACATGTAATTTATACCAGGAAATACCTCAAATCCCCAGATATGTTTTTGAAGACCAAAGCAATAGATCGCAGGATACTAGATCAAAGCGGCCATATTATTAATTTCCAGCTTCCTATTTGCATTCAAATGCAAAAAAAACAACTAAATAACACACTACTGGAAAGTCAAAACAACAAAAAGCGCATAGTATGGCCCCTTTAGGACAATCTGCTATCCAACGCCTTAACTTCCTTTTAAATACTAACAAATATATATCAATTACATTCTTTCAAACCATTTTCCAAACACTTTCAGGATATACAATCTT